GCCCTCACCTTCAGGTGGGCATCGCCACTTCTCCAGGGCCAGGATGGACTTGGCGGGGACCAGGAAGGCCAGGGCGCTGGCCTGGAAGAGGGGCAGCCTGGGGGGGACGGGGAGGAGAGGGGACGCCTGCACCCATGGCCTGGGTGGGGACGGGCAGGAGGGGTCCCCGGAGGGGCCACGGCTCTACCTGATGCCCACGGTGGTCTGGATGAGGGTGGTGATGCCCACGCAGGTGAAGATGGTGCCGATGAGGTAGCTGACGGTGAGCTGGTCCTTGCCCACGCACAGGCTCTCAGCCAGCAGGAAGGGGACGGCGATGGTGCCGCTGAAGCAGGTCAGGTAGTGCTGGGAGGGGGCGAGGGGGGGGCTCAGCGGGACTAGGGTGCCATGGGGTGCCCCACACCACGGGGAAGGGGGGCTCGGGCTCTGCCAGTGGGGGTACCCCCCTTCCAGGCCGTACCTGGAAGCCCAGGAGGATGCAGAGGTACCAGGGGGGCACGTCCTCGATCCTGTAGATCATGTCCACCTCCGTCCGGGGGGGCCCCGCGCCCACCCCGGGGTCCTGGCGTGGAGGGGGCACAGCTCAGCCCCAGCTCACCCGGGGGGGTGGGGAGCAGGGTGGGGGGGACATCCCGCCCCATGGGACCCCCTGCACCCTCGGGGATGGGGAGAGGTCCCTGCTGCTGGCCGGTCTCCATCGCTGGTGGGTCACAGGAGGCCGTGGGGCGGGTGCTGTGGGGGGGTGTCCCGGTACTCACCCTGCCCACGGCAGGAGGCTCCTTCCCGGGGGGGTGTGGGGGCCCGATGGGGGCGAGAGCCGAGTTCCCATTCTGGCAGTGAGGGGGGGGCCGGGTCAGTGTTGTCCCCAGTGTCCCATAGGAACGGGGCTGCCCTGGGGTTGCACTGGCCACCAAGCCATCACATGTGGCCACTCAGTCCCACCCAGCACTGGTCCCCACCCCCGAGAGGGGTCTGAGCCCCCAAACCTGCTGGTCCCTCCGTGATGGTTCATCCCCAGGGGAGGTTGGAGGGGTGGGGGGGGTCCCCACTGGCCCCGGGGTGCCCAGACCACCCCGCAGGCACCGGGAGGGATGGCACAGCCAGTCCCAGCTACAGCATCTTGGCGTGTCCCCTTGGTCCTCCAAGCCCACCCCATCCCATCACTTGGGGTTGGTGACCCCTGGCCACCCGCCTCCCTCCCCACTGCCAGGGGATACGGCCGAGGAGGGGACGGGGATGGGGATGGGGACGGGGACAGGGACGGGGATGGGGATGGGGACAGGGATGGGGACAGGGATGGAGGCTGCCTTCACCTGGGGCTGAGCCAGGTCTCCCGAGCGGGTCCCCATCCTCCGGCGCTGCGTCCCCGGCACCGGTGTCACCGCACAGGGGGTTTTATGGCCGTGGGAAGGACTTTAGTCACCACCCGGGCCGTGCCGCGGTGCGGGGTGACGGGCGGGAGGGCGGCCATTGGCTGCCGGTTGTGAAACCGGGGAGCGCTGCCTCAGGGACGGATCAGCTATTAACTCCTTTAATTAGGGCTGGCACCGCCGGGGGGGCCGGGGCGCTGCCTCCGGCGAGCACCGCCTTGGTCAAACATTAGAGCCCGGGGGCGGGGGGGTCACAGAGCAATTCCCAGCTGGAGAGGGGGGTCCGGCGACGCGGTGCCACCAGCATCGTCCCGCCACGGCCGGGCTGGGCGTCGAGGGACAGCGGCGACTCCGGTGACGCCGGGAAGGTGCCCACCTCCCAGCACGTGCGGGCTGTGGCTGGGGACGAAGTCGGCTCCGAAGGTCACCGGGGCATTAAGCATTAACCGCGTCGGGGCTACAGCTCGTTCTGCAGGGCCTTGGGGGGAGCCGGCCCCCTGGCTTTGCCGCCGGCGCAGGCCCCCTTCTCCCCGTGGCACAGCAGCTCCCGCAGGGCGGCCGGGCCCCGCCGGTGCGCCCCGTAGATCTGCGCCTCCCCCTGCTCGCCCACGTAGCCGTGGCACATCTTGGACAGCCTGCAAGAAGCCAGAGAGGGTCACGCCACGTCCCCCCGCTGTGGGGTGAGGGGGGACGGTGCCCGGAACCCCCCCCCCAGCGTTGCTGACATCCCCAACTTACCTGCTCGGCCAAGGTCCCCCCGTCACCATCACGGTCATGGACTCCTGTCTCAGCAGCCCCGGCCCCGACAGACGCTTCTCCCCGTCCACCTCCTGCACCCCATAGCTGTGGGGAGAGGCTGGGGTTGGGGACCTCCCTGTCCCTGGGGACACCCCCCATCCATGGAGACACCCCTAATCTCTCTGGATACCTCCATCCCTCAGGACAATCCCACCTCTGGGGACACCCCTGTCCATGGAGACACTTCCATTCCCTGTCTCTGAGGACACCTCCATCCCAGGGACACTTCCATCCCTTGGGACAACTCTGTCTGTGGGGATACCTTCATCCCTGGGGACACCTCCATTCTGGGGACAATCCCATCACTTGGCACACCCCCCATTCCATGGGGAAAACCCTTCATCCCTGGGTGCACCCCTATTGCTCAGAGCACATCCCATCTCTGGGGACACCTCCATCCCTGGGGACACTCCCATCCCTTGGGACACCCCCATCCCTTGGGACACCCCCCATTCCACGGGGAAAACCTTCATCCCTGGGTGCACCCCTCTCCCTCGGGGCACATCCCATCTCTGGGGACACCTTAATCCCTGGACACACCCCCGTCCATGGAGACACCTCCACCCCTGGGGATGCCCCCAACCCATGGAGATACCCCCATCCCTGGGGACACCTCTTCATTCCCTATCTCTGGGGACACCTCCATTCTGAGGACACCTCCATCCCTTGGACAACCCTCTCTGTGAGGATACCTTCATCCCTGGGGACACCTCCATTCCGGGGACAATCCCATCACTTGGCACACCCCCCATTCCATGGGGAAAACCCTTCATCCCTGGGTGCACCCCTATTGCTCAGAGCACATCCCATCTCTGGGGACACCTTAATCCCTGGACACACCCCCGTCCATGGAGACACCTCCACCCCTGGGGATGCCCCCAACCCATGGAGATACCCCCATCCCTGGGGACACCTCTATCCCTCTGGATACCTCAATCCCTCAGGACAATCCCACCTCTGGGGACACCCCTGTCCATGGGGGCACCTCCATTCCTGGAGACACCCCTATCCATGGAGACACCTCCATTCCCTGTCTCTGGAGACACCTCCATCCCTTGGACAACCCTGTCTGTGAGGATACCTTCATCCCTGGGGACACCTCCATTCCTGGGGACACCTCCATCCCTTGGGACACCCCCCATTCCATGGGGAAAACCTTCATCCCTAGGTGCACCCCTATCCCTCAGGGCACATCCCATCTCTGGGGACACCTTAATCCCTGCAGACACCCCTGTCCATGGGGGCATCTCCATTCCCTGTCTCTGGGGACACCTCCATCCTGAGGATACCTCCATCCCTTGGACAACCCTGTCTGTGAGGATACCTTCATCCCTGGGGACACCTCCATCCCGGGGACACCTCTATCCCTTGGACAACCCTGCCTGTGGGGATACCTTCATCCCTGGGGACACCTCCATCCCTGGGGACAGTCCCATCCCTTGGGACACCCCCCATTCCATGGGGAAGACCTTCATTCCTCGGTGCACCCCTCTCCCTCGGAGCACATCCCATCTCTGGGGACACCTTAATCCCTGGAGACATCCCTGTCCATGGGGGCACATCCATCCCTGGAGATGCCCCCAACCCAAGGAGATACCCCCATCCCTGGGGACACCTCTATCCCTCAGGAGAGCCCTAGTCCAAAGGGTCACCTTCATCCCTGCAGATGTCTCCATCCCTTGGGATAACCCCGTTTCTGGGGACGTCTCCATCCCTGGGGACACCCCCCATTCCCGGGGACACCCCTCCATCCCTGGGGACACCCCACTCACCTCTCCCAGCCCTGCGAGCAGCTCCTCTCCAGCACCTCCACGTAGTCGGACTCGCTCAGCGCCTTCCTGCCCGCCTTCCCCTCCGCCCTGCGCAGCTGCTCCTCGATCTGGGGGGGCGCAGAAAATGGACAATGAGGGTGGCAGCCCCCCACCATGACCCTGATCCCAAGCAGGGATCGGGTCCACATCCTCTTCCTTGAGGCCCCGGCACTTTTCCATGGGGTGGTGAGTCCATGCCAGGGGGCTCACTGCCCACAGAGGGCCTTTTTGGGGTGCTGGGGGTGGGGGGAGAGCCATCAGTGGGGTGCCCCAGGGAAGCCAGGAGGACGTCCCCAAGCCAGAGCACCCCCACGAGGTCTCTCACCCCCGGTTTCGGGGTGCAGCCTCCCCGATGCCCACCTGGAAGGCGATGGCGTGGCAGGCGTCGCAGCGCAGGGCCTCGGGCATGTGTGGGGAGAGCCGCTCCTCGGGGCTGAGCCGGGGGGCAGGGATGGAGCGTGTTGGGGGGTCCCCGCACATCTCCTGTGCCCCCGTGCCGGCCAGCAGGCCGAGGGCCAGCCACGCCGCCAGCGCCCGCTGCATCCTGCCGCGGTGCCGAGAGCGCCGGGGCGGGGGGGCAGGGTGGCTATAAACCCCCCCGGGCCGGCAAGTGGGCGCTGATGCGCGGCCGACGCACCTGCATCCGGCTGACGCCGCCACGTCCATCCCCGGGGCCTCGGGGCGGGGTGTGGGGTGTCCCCAACCAACTGTCCCCTCTCCGGGTGGTTTTGGGTGTAATTCCATCCGGTAACGCCCAACCCCTGCTCCTGGACCCAAATCCTCCCAGGGATGAGGTGGACCCCCCCGGGGTTGGGGTTTTGGGGTTCAGAGACGGGGTTTGGGGTTCAGGATGGGGGCTCAGGGCTGGAATGTGGGGTCCAGGACTAAGGTTCAGGGCTGGAATTCAGGGTTCAAGAATGGGGTTTGGAGTTGGGATTTGGGGTTCAGGAATGGGGCTTGGGGCTGGGATTTGGGGTTCAGAGACAGGGTTTGGGGCTGGGATTTAGGGTTCAGAGACAGGGTTTGGGATTTAGGGCTGGGGGGTCAGGGATGCGATTTGGGGTTCAGGACTGGAATTTGGGGTTCAAGACCGAGGCTCCGGGCTGGAATTTGGGATTCAGGTCTAAGGTTCAGGGCTGAGATTCAGGGATGGGGTTTGGGGTTCAGGGCTGGGGGCTCAGGAGTGGGATTTGGGGTTCAGAGATGGGGTTTAAGGTTCAGGGCTGGGGGTCAGGGCTAGGATTTGGGGTTCAGGGCTGGAATTTGGGATTTAGGACTGGGGACTCAGGGCTGGAATTTGGGGTTCAGGGCTAAGGTTCAGGGCTGGGACTTGGAGGCTGGAGGACTGGAGGAGGACTGGAGGCTCAGGGCTGAAGTCTGAGGTTCAGGGAAGGTTTGGGGTTCAAGGGATGGGGGCTCAGAGCTGGGTTTTGGGGCTCAGGGGCTGGGTTTTGGAGCTCAGCCTGGGTTTTAGGGCTCGGGGCTGGGGTTTGGGGGGTCACTGTTGACCACAGAGTCCTGTCCTGGCCCCAGGGACCAGGGACTGATCCGGTGGGTGCTCTGGGACAGACAGACGGACTGCAGCCCCTCGCACTCCCCCTTCACAGACTACACAAACTCGGGAGGAATATGCAGGATTTAACGCTGCCTCAGCATTTTTATTACTGTTTTAGGGAGCCCATGGCTGGGGTGGGGGTGGGGGGCTGACGGTGGCTGGGCCATCGTTCCCCTGTGCCCACCAGCCCGGGTGGCCCTCGGGACAGGACCAGCAGCAGGGGGAAGTGGGGGCCGTGCATCTGGTCCCTGTGCTGGCCACGGCCCGTGACTTCAACCCCCTTCCCCCCAAGGGGCTGCCAGGTGCTCACGCTGCAAAATACCCTTTTTCTCCTCATTTCCATGAGGTCCAGCTGATGCCCGTTACCCCTCGGTGCTTCAGTCACGATCCGGGGGGAGGTGTCTCCTGTGCTGGGGTGATGCTGATTTTGGGGATCAAGACCGGCCACTTGGGAAGGGACGTGCCATGGGGGGGTCTGTCCCCAGCCGAGGACGGTCACATCCGGAGGGGGGGGTCCTTCTCTGGCCCGGCAGGGCTGGCGTGGGCGGGGGGCTGCCCGGGGCCGGGGCTGGCCCGCATCCCCGTGGGGATGTAGTAGAGGCTCTCCAGGTACCCGCAGTCAGGACCCCCGGCAGCGGGCGGCCCCTCGCCCTTGGGAGC